TCACTTGTTTCATAAATACGTAGAGCATGTCATGCCTACATCCAATTTCATGCTGAGAGATGAGAAGGCAGGGCAGTTGTAAGCCGAAGTCTCCCTTAACGATAAGCCAGATTCATAATATTTCCTCTATTTCTACTTCATGATCCACTTTCTAAAACAAGTGGTTTGCAAACTTTAAAAAAAAAACACTATTAATGCCATTCACTCTTTTTGTCCTTTTAATATGTTTGGGATTCACTCCCATTCAACTACTCAAAATGTACTCTCTATAATTTCTATCTTTCCCATTACCAACTCAATTTTTCTTTTATATAATTTAATATAAATAATGTGATTAACTTTTTTTTTTTCTGGGGTCTGGTCGTGGGGCCTGAGCTCTGGGCCTGGAGGCTGTCCCTCAGCTCTTTAGCTCAAGGCTAGCACTCTACCACTTGAGCCACAGCACCACTTCTGGCTTTTTTCTTTCTTTTTTTTTTTTTTGCTTATGTGGTGCTGAGGAATCTAACCCAGGGCCTCAGACATGCAAGGCAAGCGCTCTACCACTGAGCCACCTTCCCAGCCCCATGATTAACTTTTTCTAAAATTATTTTCTTTCTTGGCCTTTCACAGTTATGTGATTCTGGTTTTCTTCTTGGGCTTGCTGTGTCTGTTCTCTAAGATCTGATTCTACCCATTTACTTGAGAGACAGCACCATGCTCAAGCTCAACAACTGATGAAAAAAGTAAAAGACTAGTTGGAAACTTTCATTAAATTATCCCAATAATTCAAAGGAAAGTAATGTTTTAATCCATATGTACATCGCTTTCATGTAAAATAAAAGTGATTTTTGTGGTAGGAATTTTTCCTTATGGAAGAGATATGGTCATTGTAAAATATGGGAGGCAGGGAGTGGACACTAACAAAAAGCAGCATGGTCATGCTCAAGACTGTGCCAGGAGCTACTCAGGAGGCTAAGATCTTAGAATCTCAGTTTGAAGCCAGCTCCAGGAAGAAAAGTCTGTGAGACTCTTATCTCCAATTAACTTCAAAAGCCACAAGTCTAGTAGACCACTAACCTTGAGCACAAAACCTCAGTGACAGAACCCAGGCCCAGAGTTCAAGCCCCACGACAAAAAAAAAAGAAAGAAAGGAAGAAAGGAAGGAAGGAAGGAAGGAAGGAAGGAAGGAAGGAAGGAAGGAAGGAAGGAAGGAAGGAAGGAGGAAGGAAGGAAAGAAAGAAAGAAAGAAAGAAAGAAAGAAAGAAAGAAAAGAAAGAAAAAGAAAGAAAGAGAAAGAAAGAAAGAAAGAGAAAGAAAGAAAGAAAGAAAAAGAAACATGTTATCTGGGAGAATTCAACTATTACTTTTTGGGAGGGAAGACTTTTGCCGTATGGACACTCATTAAAGATTCCTGAAACTATATTTAACACAAGTTTGGTTTTTTTCCCCCAAATTATAATATAATATTGATTTCATTTTCAACTTTCCCCACAGTGGTAATGAGATATTTCTAGTGCCAACAGTCACACATTCAATTATGTGGAATCTCAGGTAATCTAATACTTGACATGAGTGGTTTTGAACACATAGATGTTACTTGCCATTACTAGTTCTCTTTTCTTTTCTTCTTTTAAATTTTTGGTTCTGATGTTTGGAATCAGTACTGTGCACTTAGTGGGCAGAGCTTGCTCTACCTCTTGAGCTTCATTTTTGAAACTGAGTCTCACATTTTTGCCCATCCAATCTAGACCTCAATCCTCACAATAGCTAGGATTAGCCCAGTGTTTTGCTATTTTTTGTGTTGAAATTGGGAATCTTGCTAACTTTTTTGCCTTAGTTGGCTTCAAACCCTAATCCTGCCAAACTACACTTTTCAACTATCTAGTGTTACAATTGACAAGCTAACGGTTCCAGTCTAATTCTCCTTTCTTGAAGTAAGCATAGGAGATAACAATTTTGCCCCTCCAGAACCAAGTATGTAATGTGACTTGTTTATCCAAAGACATATGAGTTGTGTGTGTCACTTTGGTGGAAACATTTAAGAGCTGGTGCAGGTTCTCCATGTTCTCTCTTCCCTTGTAATAGTAGTTGTGTTGACCTTAGCTGACTTTCAGTACTAAAAAAAATACTATATGGAATGCTGAGCCCAATTAAGGAAGATCGCTACCTGAAAACTCATGTAACCTCAGACTACTCATGAAAAATAAATCAATGACTTCAATCTTGTGGCTGTTTTATCACAAATAAGCTAATTTATTAAGAATGATGAAAATAGTCTTGCTGCTATCATTCTAATTAATTCTTGATACAGATTTGCCTCAGGTACTTAGTACTGGCCTAGAATACATAAGGCCCTGGATTCTATGGGCTGAAAGCAAACCAGTAACCTCAAGACTCATTTTATATTGACTGTTGATATTTTGGCAGACTTTACCAGGTTCAAAATATTAATAGTATAGACTAGTCACTGTGCTGGGCACTAGAAATTTAACTGAGAACAAAGCAAGTCCCTATCCTCATAAACTAAATATTATTGATAAGAGGAATGAGAAGATGAAAACAAATTTAATTATTCAGTGTTCTAAACACTCTATTTCCTGAAGATGATATGGAAAAAGTAAAAGTGGATGAGGAAATAGTAATCACATTAGGAATGAGATTAAAGAGTTAAATTTTGACAGGTTTATGTACTTAAGAGTTGAACTTAAGACACTTTTCAACCAAATGAGATTGATCAATGTTAATATTGAGCCAAAAATAGACATCATCATCAAAGAGTGAACTTCTTAGGTACATTACTGACATGAAAATTTTAAGGAAAGTTATATGTCAAATTTAATTATTAGGCATTTCAGATTTTTTCCTAGCTTTGACATTCTAGTGTAGGACAGTTATTAACAGTGATACTCGCTCTGTGTTGCACATTTGTGAACCATTAAAAAAAATGCCACTTTCAGCTGAAGTCTTCAGAAGAGCAAGATATTCTTTTTTCTTTAGGTACCTCATTTTCCTTACATTCTCCTTCCTTATGCTCTTTATCATTTTATGTCTGTATTGGGAATATTTTATTATGAATTTGTTGATTCTTAATTTGGGACATTCTTCCTTCTTGGGAAATTTTGAGATGTCAAATTTGATAAAATCTGAAATCATCCTCACAACATGAAGAGATTCCCACTGTGCTTTTATTTGAAGTGTTAGGGCCAACATGCATCTAAATATTTATTAATTAAATATAGTGCTTAAAGTTTCTTTAGTTTGATCCCATGCAAACTTTTTTTTCTGAGAATAGAATTATATTTACATTTGAATCACTTGGTACTAAGAATAAAATGCTAAGTAGACTGATTTGCAGGAATCAGAGAAACAAAGAAAAGAATAAAATTTAAGACAGGGAGTACTTAAAGATATGCTGTAAACATTTTTTCAGTGAACTGTAGTGACTCAGAATATGTCACATCAACGTATGCTACTTTGGAATATGGGATATTTGAACTAAAGGTAACCAAAATCCACAAGAAGAAAAGATTTTTTTTTTTTACTTACTCCTCAACTGCTTTGGAAGGTGTTTGTTAATTTCCTCCTTTGGAAAGAATTCCATTACCCATCTTCCTCACTATGACAGAACACCTGAGAAAACCAACCTAAGGAAGAAAAAGGCTGTTTGGACTCATTATTTTAGTTTCTGGGCATTTAGCCTGCATGCTGTGGGCTTGCAATGTAAAAGTACGCCATGGCAATGCAATTGTCTATTGGAAGAAGGGGATGGAATGCAGGAATAAAGCTGTTCACTCTTAGCATTGTGAAGCCAAGAGTGATAAAAGATGGAGCAAGGATCTCAATATTCCCTTCAAATGCCTGCCCCAGTGACCTACCACAGTCCCTGCTTCCAAAGTTTCCACAATCAGCAACACAGACTGGCAACTAGCTTTTAACACATAAGTCTTGAAGGACACTCCAGATCCAAACTACAACATTTATTCCTAGCAAAGAATGTATTGTACCCAGAAGAGATACTTCTAGAGACAGTTGTCATTGTGGGAGACTCTTCTTGATCACACGTTTTTGCCCTCCCTGAATTTCCCTCCTTTCCTTCAGAAGTTGCAAACTCCCTTTCCTTTCTAATCTGGCCAGCTCAGTATGATAATGTGCTCAGAGATCTAGCCACCTCTTCACATCTCATATTTTTGTAAAACTCCTCTGCCTAGGTATATGAATAGACTTTTTTTTCCTTGATAGTCTATCTGCATTGTTAGGCTAGAAAGAGAACAAGAAAAAATGGACTACATGCCGAATGCAAGAGAATTTCCCAGCCGATTTACTCATCAGAAAGCAGTGTACTCTAATATGAATCACCTTCCATCCAGCTGGATAATTACAGTCATAAAAAGCTAGAGCTGGAAATCCATCACATATGGTCTCCCTATTGAATTTCACTCACACACATAGAAAATCAATTTGCATTCAATTTGGACAGAGAATGCATAATAGTAAATACGCAATCAATACTACTCTTGAACACAGACTAATCAGTTGTTCTGTTATTTATTGACATCCCTCACTGCAAAACTATTTGCAGATGATAAGACCAAAGCTTTGAAAAGCTAAACAATTTGCAACTAGTAAGAGGCAGCTGCATGAAGATGATATAATCTGAAATATTCTCTTTGTGCCAAAACATAATTTTTGTTGTTGTTAATAGTGTACACAATAAGCACATGTACAAAAAGTGCAGACCAAAACCATCCTCCTTTATTCCAATCTTTCTCATCTCTGCCCTGCTCGTAAGTCATCATTGTCATCAAGGTTTAGGTTGTTATCCTCATGGCCCACACAGTCCATCGGGATTTCTTTTTCTAAGCCCGGAGCTCCGATCCTCACAGGCCTTTAAAGGTCTGCTCACACTCGGTCCTGCACCCCGGCTCCCAGGAGGCTTCCACCGTGTCCCCTCCCCCTTTGGAAACTTCTTGTTCCGAAGACAGCCAGGAAAACGCAGGGCCTAGGGGAACCAGTAAGGGGGAACCTTTCTGGGAAAGTATTTACTCCGCCTGTGCGGGCACCCCTCCGCTTTCTCTCTCTGAGCCCTTCCCCCAGCTCCAAAAAAGCTTCCTGGAAATGTCCTCGTTATCACTTCCCCTCGCCGGCTGGGGGCTGGGAGCTGGGAGCCGGGAGCTGGGAGCGGGCGGTCCCCTCCCCGGGCTGCTGGCCAGAGCTCAGGCTGCCCCGGGGCGTCGCTGGGGCGCAGTGCTGGGAGCGCCGAGCCCGGGCTGGCTGCAACGCCGCGGAGAGCACAGGTCTGGATCACCGCCCCCGCCGGCTCCTCTGCCCCCTGTGAAATGAGGGTCCTGGGTGGGCACTGCGGGGTGCTGCTGGCGTGCCTGGCCCTCATGCTTCCAGTCTCAGAGGCAAACTGTGAGTAATCGAAGGCACTCTGTCGACCTTCTCCCCTCTCCTCCTGAATCACCAAACCAACGACGTGCTCTAGTTGGCAGGATTTTCCATTTTCTTCTCTAGGCTGAACCTCCTAGAAAGTTCCCCTTCTATCCCCACAGCCACTGACCCACTGGAAGCAGCTGTGGGTCGAACAAGGCTGTGTAATGGTGGTAGGTCTGTTTTGAAAGTCCTGCGTTGTCTGCAGGACTGATGCAAGATCAGGGGTGACAGAAAGTATCAATGAAAGAGCTTGGCCATCTACCTTCGCACCCCACTCCTCCTCCCCGACCCAGAAGCAACCGAGATTCCCAGTTAGAAGATAAAGTATGAGCTCATTCCGGAATGTAAGTAGGGAAGCAAAGTCAGTCCCCCAACCTGCTGCCCCTGCCCCCTGCAACCAACATTCCTTTTGCAATTTCTGGACTTTGAGCTTGGTTTGCTTGTCCCGCATTGACAAATGAGCTGTTTCAGGATAACGTAGGTTTGCCGAGCAGTTAAGCAGATATCGTTTTCTAACCTCGGAATACAAATAGCTTAAATGTTATTTTGTAGTGAGGATCATTGTGTACCGAGGATTTTTCCCCCCCTGTAAAGTGGTGGCACGAATTCTTTGCACCTTATCTTTGCTTTTCCTGTCCTTTATGTTCCCACACCCAGATCAAGGCAATATACTGAGTTTCATCAGAAAAAAAAATGTATAAGGAGGATCAAAGCTTTGGGTACAAAAACTTAAATATGTACATGGGTTGAGAATGCTTTCATGTGTTGTATTCTCGAGAATTGGCACCAGGCAATAACTGAATTACAAACACTTGGGCTGTTTAAAACTCTAAACTTTTCAAAGACGACTTTTTTTCAGTTTACTAAAATTTTAAGTTTTTATTAATTACTGACCGGGATGAATGTGCTGTTTTCAAATTCTAATTTCAACGATAAAAAATTACTGGTTGAACTGACATTAAAGAGCTACAGTTACAAGTCTTCAACAATCAACCACTTACTACTAAGCCTATGCGCAACCACATGTCCTAACTTGCTATCTAGTTCATTAGGATCATGGATTATTTTCTGATAACTAGTATTTTTGGAGAAGTGAAAGAAGAAGCAGTTGCCATGCTCATAGTCAAAAGAATTTACTAGGCCTTTCTTTGTGAAGAGATTATTACAGTTTGACTGACTCTAAACAGAAGTAAAAATTACGTGGGACTGGGTATTGTATGTATACCTTATGTGTACATACATGTCTAGTATGTGAAGAATTGCATATGTTACATAAGACTGCTAGTGTGGGTGAATTCTGCAGGTATACCACGTAGAGAATACATGGCTCTATAACGGTCATTTATATTTTTGGTTGCTTAATTAAATTGAAAATCATCTCTAGTTTGCAAAAGAAGACATTTAGACACAGCTGAGATGCTTGGATGTGCAGATAATTTTGTTTTAGTTGTTTGGTTTGTTTTTGGGTTTTAGATTAGTGCTGGGGTTTGAACAGACTTGGCGTAGTATTCTACCACTGAGCTATATCCTCTAGCTCCCAAACTCTGTAAGATTTTAAATTTGAGATATAATTAGAGTATGCAAACTTTATTTATAGTACCTTGTGTTTATCCATAGAGAGGTAGTTGCTATTTCAAGAAAAAAATACCAATTATAGACTTATTTTTTGAAAGATGTTAGGAAACACATGTTTCATCTGCATTATAACAATAAGGCAGAATTGTTCAGATATATTAACTGGCATTCCAGACTTGCATATGATATGTAATATATGATATACTTATTTGTGTTAGAGAGAAGATTTGTGTGCATGTGTGTGTATGTTTTGTGTATTCGTTCTACTTATTTAATCATTCTCAAAGGGCTTTTGGTGAAAAGGGAAATGGGAGAGAGGATATCTACTTTAGTTTGGCTAATTTGGACTTATCTAGACTTCCCTTTTGGGTGAATGCAGTCTACCCTGCAAAATTATTGATCCATATTTTGTTGTTGTTCCCTTTTTCATCGTGTGTGTGTGTGTGTGTGTGTGTGTGTGTGTGTGTGTATGTGTGTGTGTGTGTGAAATCGCCTGGAGCTTGAACTCAGGTTCTGAGTGCTGTCCCTGAGCTTTCTGCTCAAGGGTAGTTCTCTACCACTTGAGCTACAGTTCCATTTTCAGCTTTTTGGTAGTTAATCAGAGTTAAAAATCTCATGGACTGTTTCTTCCTGGGCTGGCTTTGAACCATGATCCTCAAATCTCAGCCTCCTGATGCAGCTAGGATTACAGGCATGAACCACCGACACCTAGTTTCTTTTACATCTTCTAACTATCTTTTATTATTTATGTACCTGTACCTTCTTAAGTTTCCTTTACTTCAAAGCTCAAAATACTACACTGATATGGTCTTTTAAAGTTAAATCGCAGTTGAGATTTGTGCTGTAAGAGTTGCAGGCATAGCTGGGAGCCAATGGTTCATACCTGTAATTCTAGCTACTTGGGAAGTTGAGATCTGAGGATCATGGTCCAAAGGCAGACCCAGCAGGATAGTCCATGAGACTTATCTCCAGTTAACCATCAGAAAACAGGAAGTAGCACTGCGGCTCAAGTGGTAGAGCTCTATCCTTGAGCTGAAGAGTTGAGGGACAGTACCCAGGCCTAGAGTTCAAGCCCCACAACCGGAAAAAAAAAAAGAGTTGCAGGGAGTTTCTGATAATAAAAATAAATAAATAAACCCTGTACCTTATTCACTTACTGCTAATTCTGCGGTAAGGTACACAGTAATGCTCTTCATGATAGCTATTTTCTCTTCATGGAGTTTAATATCCTCTTTGTTGCTTCAGTGATCTATTTAAATATTGCACTGTCAAAATATTATGAGTAGCCTAATCAGTATTCTGTATCTATGATTAATAATGACAACTTCTTGCCACGTAGAGGAAAGAAGGAATGAGTCAGCTTTCTCGCACTTTGAAAGAATACTTGAGAAAATCAACTCAAAAGGGGAAGATTATTTTGTCTCATAGTTTCAGGCCCTTCTATCCAGGGTTGCTTGTTCTCATTGTTCCAAGGCAGATGATGAGAGAGGAGCTCAAGGTGACAGCCCTGGCACCCCAGAAGCAAAAGGACAAAAACTTCCTGTTATAACAAAGCACTCCTCCCAAACCAGTGAAGCAATGAATGTGCTAAGGGGTAAATCCAATTCTGGAGTGAGAGCCCTCATAATTAAAACACCTCCCCAAAGCTCTATACTTGAATGATGTCATCTTAGGGACCAAGTTCGCAGCATAGCTTTCATATTAAATGTGAACTATTATTCTCTACCCCTGAGCTCCAGAAACTCATGTCCATAGTACAATACAAAATGCTTCCAGTCCTCCTCTAAGAATTCCTGCAGTGGTACCAGTTCCAGTCCAAAGGCTCCTCTGAGGAAGTAAATTGTTACCTCAAGTTTCTGTAAAAATCAAAAGAATGAGTTATACCCTTCCAATCTGTAATATCACATGGCTATTCCTATTCTGAAAGGAAGGAAAAAGGACTGGGGATGTAGCTTAGGGATAGAGCACTTCCTTTGCATGGCCAAGGACTGGCTGTGTTCAGTTCATTTCATGGTAAAGAAAAACAAAAGTTTCCAAAAGGGAAGTATAAGAAAAAAAGCAAGGAGAAATCTAAAAGAAAAACTAACCCAGGGCAAACTTTAAATCCTGTAGTTCTATATCAGGCATCTAGGGCTCATGATGCCATGATGGACACTCTGCTCATATGGTCACTCTCTGAGGCCAGCTTGCTTACTGCCTGCAGATTCCCTCCTTCCATGTTTCTGATAGCTCTCAGGTCTTTGGGGACCCACTGTATTATTTTCATAGCTTCACATACCACTGCAAAAGGGGCCATTTGCAAGGAATCTGAACATGCTACATATAGCAGGCTTTAAAATCTTGGTAGAGGGGCTGGGGAGGTGGTTCAATGATAAAGTGCTTGCCTTGCATGCATGAGGTTCTGGGTTCAATTCTTCAGCACCACATAAACAGAAAAAACCAGAAGTAGCGCTGTGGCTCAAGTGGTAGAGTGCTACCCTTTAGCTGAAGAGCTCAGGGGCAGCGCCCAGGCCCAGAGTTCAAGCCCCATGTATGACAAAAATACAAAAACAAACAAACATGCCTGTAAAGTTAGTACACATGGATGATACTAATTTTGTTTTAAGCAGGATGTCAGCTGCAGTGGAGTCTGAATGTTTTGATGACTGAATTGGAGGAAATTAATCTTGTGAAAGTGACTTCCTGTGTGGTCTATGGGAGGAAGACACACAGGGATTCTGTCTTAAATCAAAGACTTACACTTGTACACCTTTGAGCCCAAGGGGATTTGAGTCTCAATGATTCCCAGGTGCCTTCAGGGAATTGGGAACTTGCAGCCTGATCTTTGCTGTTGGATATTGTGATTAGGAGGGTCAGTTATGCATACTTATTTGTATTATATTATTAGATGAATGTCTTCAGATGATATATATGGAAAGAAGGGCATATGCGTATTTTTTTTTCTTTTGGTTGGTTGTGGGGCTTGAACTCAGGGCCTGGGTTCTGTCTCTGTATACGTTATTAGTCAATAATTACAATATATGGAGTGTTACTATATCTACTCTCTCTCCAATCATTATTCCTATTGTCCAGGTACAGATTATTTAGATTCTCTTTATTTGTGTTAATGTCTTTACTAGCCACACCTACCTTTGCCTTCAATTTTATAAATATTTTGTTTTCTGGAAAGATTGATTCCTCTTTGCTTTTGCTCTTAATTCTTACCATACCACTGTGAAATTTCTTTCAATAGGTTAATTAGTCTGTACTTTTAAAATCTACTTCCCACAAAGTCTTGGGACATGTACAAAATATAGATTCATTCTTTGCCAAATATACAATGAATGGCCCCTTATTAATTCCAAACACAGTCCTCACTTCTAGCTGAAATCTCATGAGCAGAGTCTTTTACTATCTGCATTTCT